GAAATAAATCTTTTACCCATAATATCTGTGTGGAAAGCAATATTGCCACTGAGGAAATTTGTAGAAGCTTCTGGCAGCTGCATCGTAGATAAAATTTTAACTTGTAAACATTGTATGGCTTACTGGTGGGATGACATCAGCTGAAGGATGTTTGCCTTTTGCTTCATTGTACTTTTTCTAAAAAGAGTTATTAAATGTTTCCTATCCTTTCTCTAAACATAGCTCCATGACAATACTTTGGAGAATCTTGAAGACAAATAGTCTTTACTACTAAAAATTGCTATTGTTTCTCCTTTATTCCAGGTTATTATATTTAGCTGCCAGCTGTCAGATGCCAGCTGTGAAAACCAAAAACAGGAGACAACTTCTACTGTGTTTTCTTTGCTCTTCTCTTTTTCCGGGTTTAGTGGAAAACCAGAGAAAATCCTTTTGATTGAAATTCCCATGATTTAAACTCTACGTCAAGAGTAAATAAAGAAAAAAACACCCAAACATGCCCTCCCCATCCTTAAAGGACCTTATCCTTTAGAGGTCATCTTTTACAATGGACTTCCAGGTTGATTTAAATGATTTCCACTGTCTCAGTGAGTTAGATTTTATTTTACTTTACTTATTTAAGTGCTGTCTTTATTACAAAGGGAGAAAGATGAGACTCTCGTGTACCTCAATTCCTCCTTTTGAAAATTTAAAGATTAGATAAAATTATATTGAATTTAGCAAATATTTGATGACAATCTACTGTGTAGTAAGTTGTTCTAGAGATGGTAAGTGGTAGAAGAATAAATTTTTGCTTCCTATAGATGACAGAATATTTTCATAACCACTGCCTCTTGGAAACAAGCTAATCCACATTCAAGGAGCCTGTAGACCTAGGACACAGATTATCTACAGATTTATTTGAGGAGATTCATTTACTTTCAGGTATTCTATCCAGATAGTTGCCGACATTTTACATTTAAACTTTATCTTCTCATTATTCTTGTAACATGAGCAGGAAAAGGGGTAATTTTTATCCGGACTATACACATAATATTGATGCCTAGAATGATTGGTGTTTTACTCCAGATAACAATAGCAAACTCTATGCATGGTATCATCTCAGCAATTTACACATATTAATGATTTAAGCCTCAATAATTGATTAATCTCTAGTTCAAAATTAAAAAAAAATATTTTGAAATCAGTCCTCTTATCATTTTACAAGGACAAAATTGAGGCACAGAGAGATACAGTTAAAAGTGCTGGAAAGCTAATATTGAGAGTCTGGACCATGAGTCTTTTGATTTATGAGTGATGGGGATGGTCAGTGAGAGGGAGGAAGGGAGCTTACAGCTGTCTTTTACTGGAGACACACTGATATAGGCAGCCTGACTATTCCTTCCACTTAAGTGAAGGAATAGTGTCACTCTCTAGTAGAATTCTGCAGTTCTAAAAAGGATATTGTCTTACAGGCAGCGCAGAGAGCAGCCTGTCTTTCTTCCAATTTGAAAATCCATATCCTTGTCCTCCCACACTACCAAGTCTGAGAACATAATGTCTGGAAACCTAGCGAATGCGTAGAAAGAGCTGGCAGACAGCAAGTTTCAAAGGCCACATTTATTTATTTATTAAAAAAAAATAATCAGTCAGCTAGTACTATATCTTCCCCCCATCCCCCTCCAGTGACTTATAGATTTCAAAGGCCACATTTATTTATTTATTAAAAAAAAAAAAAATCAGTCAGCTAGTACTGTATCTTCCCCCCATCCCCCATCCAGTGATTTATAGATTTCTGTGTGGAGTTTATAGTCTCTCTAGACAAAAAAAAAAAAAAAGAAAAGCGACACATGGATATACTTTTTCTTCAATTTGTTCTCAATCCTTCAGAGTTTTGTACTCTGTAATTCTGAATTAATTGTATTCTTGGCAATTTGAAATCAGTATTGAAGAATATTACCCAGTGCAAATGCAAAAATAAGTTTTGAGTCCCAGATAGCTAATTTTCTTGCCCTTACTTTGGTCTTCTGCATTTGCTCTTTGTCATTTCGTGGCAGGCTTTCCAATGATCTGTTCCAAATGCTATTGCAATAGATGACTTTGAGCACGATTTCTTTCAAATAGAGGATTTTAACACATACTTCTCACAGATAAAATATTTCCACATGGTGCAGTTAGCAAAAAAGAGGAACTTGTGTCTGAGGTATCCACAGAGCTTGTGAGTTGATTGGGGTTTCTGTGTTGACAACCTGAAGAGGCAAGTCAGTATATCTGAGGTCAGGTAGGGAGCTTATAGTGACGTTCTCTTGGGTAACTAAACGAGGGTTTGTTTTACTTTATTTTAACATGGCACCCTCCTGTAGTGGTTTTGTCCTCCTTCTTCAATAACAGCTGTTTTCTCTCAATAAAAATGTTAATATAATTTTAACAAACCATATATTTTTAAAAAAACACCACACAGACAGGCTTTTTTTAGAATCTTTTTCTTGACTTTTAATTCCTAAAATACTAAGGCACCTGATTCTTTTCATTAGTCTTCCTAGTTTTATCTAAAAAGCTTAATATGGAAATTGCTTAATAATGACTATAATTTCTTTCCCTTAGCACTCACCAGTCCCTAAATTATACAAAAGAAATATACTTGAAAATTAAATAATATTGTTCATTCAGACTTTCAGATTTTGATGTGGATGTTCTAGAGGATAATGGCAGTGGGTCTGAGCGGGAGGAAGGTTTAGAAGCGATGAAGCTTCTCTTAAATTATCTCAGTTTTGATTCCAATCAGAAGCCCATGAAATTATAATGCTGGCTATGTCTCTTGGAGGAAATTTAAGGTATAAAATAAAATGAACATTTGAATTTTCTCATGTTTCTATTTTTTCTGTAACTGTATGACTTTTCCCTTAAACACTTACAGGTTGGGAGAAGGGGAGGAGCCATCTTGCCAAAACCAAGATTGGCCGAGTTCTTCCTGAGACAGCCCCACCCAGTAATCATAGTCGCTTTTGATCATCCTCAGGCTGCCAGTGATAAAGTCCTATAAGAAACAAGATCTGAATAATGAACTAAGGGGAAAAACAAAACAAAACAACAAACTACCATGAAATATAAACTGTGCCATTTTGCCTAGACAGAAATTAATAGGAATTTGGCAGCTGGAGGAAGAGAAAGAGAGAGAGAAAGAAAATTTAAAAGAAGAAATACATTTTATAGACTTTTTTTTTTTTTTTTTGCTATTGCCATATGATCAATGCAGTGTCAAAGACTAAGGGAAAAATAAGCATCTTCTATTAAAACAGTTTTAACAGATTTAGTTTGGCTGGCAGATAGTGTCTGTCAAAAAAAAAGAGTGTTATATGAAAGCTTCATTATCAGGAGAAGTAAAAATATCTTTGACATGTAGATCATAGAGATCATTTTTTGTCACTATACGTCAATACAAAAAATAGTTTAGAAGATTCCAGAAGCAACTTAACTGTAAGCATATTTTGTTAAGAGAAACATTATTAACTTTTGTTACCAAATTTGTACAGAAAAAATAGTGTAAACTCATAATTGTAATAAGTTACTTCAAGTTGCCTTGGTCTACTGCATATCTTTAACAAATTGTTCTCCCATTATTCTTGTGAAAATGAGCTTCGACTAATTATTGAATATAGTAGGCATACCTTTTTAATAAGGTCGGAAATGTGTACCTCTGCATTCTACTTCACACATACTTATGAGTAGAATGATTTCAGAAAAACATCTTATTGTTCATTTGTTAAAATGTTAGTAAACTAGGTTTAATGTTTAGCAAATGCTTATTTTCACAGACCTCTCTATTTCATGACTTGTTTATACTTCTACTTTTCCTTGATAGTTACCAAATTGTTATAGATTATTGTACTTCCCTACAGCATTGGAAATAATAAATTTAAAATATATATATAATTATTGTATATGTATATCTTAGAGTAGATTAACATGTCACAAAGTAGTATTTCCCTTATCCCCTCCCCTTTTTGATTAACAAAAGCCAGAGAATAAATATATTCTCCTGATTTTTGAAAAATCATTCTGTGTTTTGTTTCTCTAATTTAAAGGTAAACAAACTATACTAATTCCTATTTGGTCTCTTTTAAACTTTCATTATAACATATATGCTACTGTTATAGATTATTAAAGAATTCTATCTACTAAGTCCTTTGCTTTAATGGGTAACATGGGTATTTTCAGAATGATATGAAACCATAAAACAGCATTTACCATTTCTTCTTTGCTGTCTATTTGTAGAAGATTAGAGCCCTTCTTTAAACAATCCTGTTTACTGATTTGCCAAATTTTCCAGGTTTCAAAGACATAGTAACACCTTTCTCCATTCTGAATCCAGTTGTCTGGACAAGGGTTGCAGTTGTGGCCTTTGAATAAAACATTTTACTTTATTAAAGTTATTGTAAAAATATTAGAAGCACACATCCTTAAAAGAACCTTTTGTAGTATCCCCAGTAAAGCTGAACATTCTAACCGAATGGTTTATATTTTGTAGTACTTACAAGTGTTAGCTTCTCTGAGGCTGACTACAGTAAGATTTATATAATCATTTTCAACTTCAATAGGTATCTAAGAATTAGTTTAAGATAAAATTAATTTGGAAATACCTTTTTCCAAATTATTCCTCTTCTATAATAATTGATCTGATTATTGTTTTTATAAATCTTTCTTTAAATTTATACATTTTATAGCCTTTATTTGTTTTCTTATTGTTTCATATCTCTCAATCTCACTGACCCAATCTAGTTGGAAATGTACTGGCCCATTAGGCAAACTGAGTCATAAGACCATAATAAATAATGTAATAAAGACTCGAATTGATGTTTAAATTCTGAGATTATAAAATGCTGACTACAATTTTGCAAAGAATAAAACATGTGCCACTGTTTTCTTTGAGGATTTGGTGCATACATTTGTACCAACACTGTGAAAAGTTGTTTTTATATCAGTTACCTAAACTGAAAGAGTTTTGCATCAAGTTTTGGCAATATTCCATCTGGAGGTCACGGTTTCCCTTCCCTTGTGTGAAGTTCGACAGTGCTGTGTCCTGTTGAAATAGATTTTCTTGCTGCTTCTTTGCAATAGTAGACACCTGGAACACTTCAAATAACAATCATTTCTAATAAATTCCTGACAATTTATAACAAAGTCATCCTTCAACAGATTAAAGACAACTACCAATTATGGATTATTTTTGTGACTTTAAATTGTATTATTTTAAATTTTAGTTTAGAATTTACATTGTTCAAGAATCAAAAACTACAAAGGATACATAACAGACATCCTCTTTGTCACTCCTGTGTCCTTATTCACCAAATTCCATGTCCCTAAAGCAGTCAGGCTTACCAATTTTATTTTTTTACTTTTCCAGAGATATTTTGAATTTTACAAGCAAATGAACACAAACAGTAACAATCTGTTTACATGATTTTGCAACTTTTATCGCTTAAAATATATTTTAGATGTAATTTTATATCAGTACATATAGCACTTTCTCGTTCTTTCACTACTACCGTATAGGATTCTATTGTATGGATGTACCATGATTTATTTTAGTCATTCTCCATTGACTTTTAGGCTATTTATAATCATTTGATATTAAAGAAATAAATACTGTAATAAAGAACCTTAATCATGTATAATTTCACACTGTGTAAGTATATTTTTCAGATAAGTTGCTAGGTCAAAGATTATATGCACTTAAATCGTATTAAATATTTTCAAATTATCCACTACATACGCTATTGAAAATGTCATTTTGGTATCTTTTGAATTTACATTTTTCTCTTTCTATTTGATGTTGTGTTTCCTTTTCTATGAAGTGTATAACTATATGCTTTGTAATTTTTTCAATGGGTTTCTAGTCTTTTCCTTATTGTTTTATATGACATCCTCATTGTGTTGCGAGATTTAATTTAAGCAAGCCTGGAATCAGCCTGAGCAGTGTTTTAAAAGTTCCTGCAGGACACTGACCTCTAGACAAGGATTAGTCATATCGATTAATAGTGTAGCTTTGTAATCATCAGTCTGAGAATATTTGGGCCAGATTATAACTTGTCAGCACTATATATTGATGACATATGATTGATAATTTTCCTCTGATTATAAAAAGTCCCTGAGAAGTCTGCTATTGAAGCTGGTTACCTTGCAGGAATATGCCTGTGTAATCAGCAAGATATAAAAATTCCCAGGAGGATGCTGTTTTGGGCTCCCTGTTACCAAGGTGTTCTGTGTACCCATCAGTGGTTCTTGATCCGAGAAATTGAAAGTACACTTAGAGGGGAAGGAAAAGGTGCCTGCCTGCACCTGGCCTCTCCAGAACTCTTTTTGTAATACATATTGGTATCTAAACACTGTTATTAAATTGTATCCTCTTCTAGCACTAAATTAGATTTGTGAGCACTGTCATTTTAGGACTCACTGTCTTGAGTCTTCTTTAGCAACTAATCTTGTTTAACTGACTTTGTTAGTACACTTATATTTTGGTAAAGTTAGCTTTTTGTATGATTTGAGCTACAACTACATTTGCCTCATTTGTCTTTTGACTTTGCTTGTGATAGTTTACCCCACATTGATTAGATAGTTTTTGTAACTTTTAGTAAAAGTTTTACACCTGAGATAAAACTTTTATAAGTATATTGCACACTTAGATTTTGATATAGGTGAAATTTAATTTGTTGTAAATTATAAGGTGTAACTTCAACATTTTCTCCCAGATGGCTACATAGTTGTCTCATATTATTAATTGAATCTCCCCTCCCCATGTTCTTTATTTGCCATCTTTAACTTACTGTAAATTTCCAATGAAATACTTGGTTATACAGTATTTCTATTGTTTTGATTATATTTAATTCACCTACTTATCTTTTCATATGTCAATACCACATAGCCTTAGTTATTCTAGGTCTGTAATTTATTTCAATATCTGATAAGACCAATCCTTCTATTTTGATGTTACTTTTATATTAATTTTTGGTTGTTCTTATAATTCTGGCTAGTTTATGAAAACTTCTTATTTTAAAAAATTATATTATGGAGTATCTACCTATTCCTATATTAAATATTTTTCTTAACATGGATATTAATTATGTTATCCTGCTTGGTTTTATAGAATTTCTGGAATCTGTAGCTTAATGCTTTTAATCAATTTTGGAAAATACTTATCCAATATGTCTTATAATATTACTTTCACCCAACTCTCACTGTCTTCTCTTTTTGGATTTACTATTATACAAACGCTAGTTAGCTCTGCTTCAAAAGGAGACTTGGATACAATTTGGCTGTGCTCCTAATAGAGAATATTGTCATAAAGGGGAAGTTTGTGCATAAAAAGCAATTTGTTCCTGCGCTTTGTTTATCTCCCCATTAACTGGTCAAGTCAGTATTCATAATAAAATATTTTAATTGCGTATCTGCATATTCTGATCTGTTTTAGTCATCAACATTGCTACTGACAAGGAAATGCTAAAAATCAAGAGCCACAGACTAGAGAGAGCAGATGTTTATGCCCTATCCATCTATGGATAGGACAAGCAACCTGGGCTGCCAGTGGCTTATTTTCTTTCTTAGCAAGAGCCTGGATCTAAGCAGAGTGGGATGTAGGACAGTGGTGTTATTTATTTTATCCTATTAGACGATGAAAAATAATAATATTCCTTTTAGGAATTTGAATTCTTATTCTAAAATTTCTGATTTTATAATTATTAATGATTTTTTTCACACTATACTTTTGGGGTTACTATTGCTTTGTTTATTACTATATAAAAAGCTTGTACTACATAAAACTGTAAAGAAACTGGAGAAAGGGAAATGAGACTTCTCTTTAGTTTACCTGTAAGTGGGAAGCAGCATGCTGTATCTTTATTAGTATTGGGTTGTAATCAATTTATAACAAATGAAAAATAAAGATTAAACAATATAATTACCTGGGAAAATATAAGACAAAATGTTTTTAAGAAGAAAAATAAAGAAAATGAAAGTATTTGTTATGTTATATGTGTTACCTAATTGATAAGTTAGGAAAATAAAAAAAGAATAGTAAAAACAAAAAAATCTAATGTTTTAGAAAATATTTTGCACTATAGAGTTTTTTTAAAACAGCAAGTCAATTAATATAAGTGATATAGTAGAAAAAAACAGAAACTACGAAATAATAACAAGGAAGCAAGAAATTACTTTTACTTACATTTACTCTTATCATTCCTTCTCCTTCTCTTCTTCACCCTTCTCTTTCTTGCTTCATGGTCTTCCATAGTGTTTATATATCATTATGGATTTAAATGGCCTCTTAATGATAGGCAGTGAGTTTTGCCCAATCTCATCTCTCTCCCATTGCTACCCACTCAGGTTTATTTACAGGCAAATTTTTCAAAAGTGAGATTTCTAGGTCAAATTTAATTAATACAGTTTAAGATAACTCAGTTTGTTAAGAACATGATTGTCTTGGTTTGTCTAAACAGACTCCATGAACTACTCTGGGAAAAAGACAAAATTAAGCATCCATTGGACAGCAAATTGTTTTTAAGAACATGGAAAATGTAGAGTATGCTTTTATGAACATCCTTAATATGTATTATATGCTTTTTAGTTATATAATAATTGGTGATTGGTGACTATAAATTTATTTTTATAGAAAAAACAAATTCTATATCCCACTCACTTGAAAATATTGCTTCAAAATGTTGCATCTTCAGTTAATCTTGTTTTTAATTGAAAGTGTTCTTTGTAGTTTCTTTTATTTTCTTACCCCAAGTAATTTATAAACTAACATTGAAATTTGTTATGTAGATTTGGTACTTAAACTATACCTTTTGATATTTGCAATGTCAGTTAAATATGGATTCTTGTAGTTAAAATGGAATTTGGCAATATTCCATTAAAAGTTCCCAGTTTTTACAGAAGAAACTAGATTTATTATATGTTAATTGACTGCTCTGTATATGCTTTCAGTGTATTTGCTTTGTAAACAGATATTTAAATGTGCATTTCTTTAAAAAATGGACCAGCATTTGATTTAAATAATTTTTTTTCATAAAACACAGAGGGAGGATAGGGTGCGATAAGGAAACCTTTCTGAAAGTTCTAACATTTGTTGCAGGGTTGTGAAATTTTATTTGAGAAGATAGACAAGGTAAGCTTGACTATCTTTTGAGCTCCTAGTAATAATTAAAATATTCTTCTCAGAACTACCAGGAAAATGAATTCATAACTAGCAGCAAAAAGTTCAAGTATCCTATACTTTATGGAAGCAAATCTGAACCTTTCTCTTCCTCATTTCAGAACTCATAATTCTCTCTCACCACCTAATGCCTCCTGGTTGGAGACATGATTTGCCAAAGTATACAAGAAAGAAGAATTATCTAGACAATGACCTTTATCTCTCTCTAAGCACTTTTCTTAGTACTAGCATGAGTCATAATAAAGGTGCTTAGTCTTTTTCTGGAACTGGAAGCTCTGTAATTATTATGTCTTATAAAAAATTCACTTGCTAGAGAGAGAAACATGTTTCAAATTTGGACTAAAAGGAATAAAAAATGTGATTAAATATGACCCAAATAAGTTCTCAGGCTTGCATTAAACATTAAATTGTACCTTGCCTAAAATAAAGTGAAAATTCTTATTAAAATAATGAGTTAAGTCAAGTTTAGAATAAATGCATATTAGAAAAGGTAAAGCATGCTTTGTCATGCTAACATGATTCATAAACATCATAATATAAGTAACTATTTGCATTATTTTCCCCAAAGATATCTATGGTATTAGATTTGAGTTAAACACCATTCATTTGAACATTAAAAGTTATCAATAGCATCTAAGTATTTAGAGAGTTATATTAAATAAATGTCCCATAACTTAAATTAGGATGCCAATATTTTATATCATTTACATGCATTTAGATGTTTCTATTGATTTATTTATTCATTTTTAAATTGATATTTTATTTATTATGATATACACAAAATTATATGTAAAGCTATATGCACTATATGATACACATAGACAGATAAATTATTTTGAAGATATCCTTTTGTACTTACACTTGATGCCCAAGAAAATGGAAGTTGCTAATGAGCCCATGCAGAAGATACATAAAATCACCATCACGAGACACCATGTTCCTAAATAAGGAATAGGGACAATGAAATTGAGTTAGAAAAAGGCCAGGATAAGACTAGACTGAGTAAAAGAAAGAATCGATTTAAGGTATTCCAACTAGAGAATCACTGAGGCCTTGTAACGGTAACAGGAAAAAGAGAACTCAAACTCTGAAATACAAGTTATAACTTGGATTACATTCGATTTGCAAAAAATGTCAAAATGGACGGATTTAATAACATACTTCCCTTATCCTTATATGATGCCACAACCTTACTAAACGAGTTATATGTATTCTTTTCTAACGTATTTTAGAGATTATAGCAAACCAGTTAGCAAATTTTAATTTTTGAAAGTAAAAATGTTGTATTACATTCTCCTCATCTCTTTTCAGTATCGCTTGAACATGACTAGTGCAAAGATATTTCATTTTAAACATATAATTTTAGATTAAGAACATTTTTTTCCAGATAATTTTGTAACTATTTTGGAAGTAAAAGTAAAGAATGTTTGACTTATTGTATTCCTAACACTAATCAGAGAAAAAGATAAAATTTACCTTAGGATAGTACAATAACCTGAATAACACCCCAACTCAAGATGCCCATACGCTAATCTCTGGAACCTGTAAATGTTACCATTATGTGGCAAGAGAGACTTTAAAGATGTAATTAAGTTAATGATCTTGAGAGGGGAATATTATCCTGTTTTATCTGGGCCCTCATAAACGAGAGAGGAGATCAGAGGGACACAGTGCAGTAAGATGATGGAAGCAGACATTATGCTATTGGCTTTGGAGGTAGAAGAAGAAGCCAGGAGCCATGGAAAACAAGGATGCAGCTCTAGAAACTGGAAAGAACAAGGCAATGGATTCTCCCCTAGAGTCTCTGGAGGAAATGCAGCCCTGCGAATGCCTTGGTCTCAGTCCAATGAGACCCATTTTGGACCGCTGATCTCTAGAATTATAAGATAATAAATTTGTGTTATACTAAGGCTGTAAGTCTGTGGTAATTTGTTACCTCAACAATAGGAAACTAATACAAATATTAAATAATAAAGACAGAACTGATTACTATAGCAGACAGCTTCAGGCTTATAAAATTTTGCCAGTTTTTCAACCTATGTTTTCCTTTTTTTCTTAATATTTAGCAGATAAATTGCAAAGGAGTGTTTTATACAGAAACTGAAATAATTTAAAAAATGTATTTTTTACTTATTTTGCAAATCTGGGAATTCTTTGGTGGAGGAGAGAGAGATTGAGAGAGAGAGAGAGAGAGAGAGAGAGAGAGAGAGAGAGAAAATACTACATATTCGTCAAGTCCATTGCTCTTTTCTTTTTCACCTTTACTTACTCCTCTTGCACTTCATTTTTTAATGTTAGCGTATCAGGTACATTATCATACCTTTAAATGGATTACCTCATTAGAAAAATCACCTAGGTTCATTAGGTATAAACTGCAAAGTATTCAACTAAATAATTGAACTGGTTACCTGAATATTTGGTGGAAGATAGATGTTTCTGGTAAAGGTTTGGTGGTGGAGTATCCCATTGAAGGGATGTGTATACTTCTTCCTCCTGCATATCTGAGATACTTTGATAGGTCAGACAGTCCACACGAACGGCTGAGAAAAAATAATTCCTTTTGTAGTCAGGAGTACGTTGGTGAAAGAACCGAAATTGGCTACTTTTTCACACTGGTGAGAAAATATGTTAAGTTTAAGGAATAGAATAAATGCACGTTCATCTAGAAAGTAGAAGTTTATGAAGTTTAAGCCAAAGCACAACTTGTTAAAGAAGGAAATGAGAAAGGAACCAAATTCAAAATGGCCGATAATAGAACATGTTATTGCTCTGGCTTCTAAAATGTAGTAAATATTGAAGGTGAAGGCACTGGACTACTGTTAAAATAGATAGAAAAGTACAAAGACTGCACTTATATTTGGTATTGGACATGAAACATGGGGATCACCTGGGTAGCAAAGATACAAAGATAGCTCCTGTTGGGCAAACCAGGATGTAAGGAGTTGTAGATCACTGTGTATCTTTAAACAAAAGAGTTAAAAAGGGATTGCATCTCTAAAATAAATTTACACACTGTAGTAGTGAGGCTAATGCAGTTGCTGTGACAAGTAAACTTCAAAATATTAGTCATTTAACACAATAAAATTGTCTTTCTTGCTCATATAATATTTTATCTTCATTAATCCTAGTTAGTGGGGAGTTTTCCTCCAAATGGGCTGTGGGCTCCATCTCCATTTAGAGACATTAAAGTCCTCTACTTCAAGCCACTGGAAAGGAAAAGAAAAGGTGGCAAATCCATATCTGCTTCTTGAAAGCCATAACTTCTATCACATCCATATCCACTGATGTAATGCCCTTGTTTGGACCTAAAGGTTGAGCCTGATAAACATTTTTGTTTAACTAGCAAACTTTCTATGACAACTTAACTCTAGAACAGAAGCATGAATTATTTAGTGGATAGATGGCCATGTTGGCCACATCCTATGACTATTGTGCTGGTATTGAGAAATCTGATATTTTAATTATCATTGGCCATTTGTCCTTATGGCCAAAGGTCATATCTCAGTAATTTACAATCTGCAAACCCCAACAATCTGCAAAATTGCAATGTTCTTTTTTATTTCAGTGTCTTGCTGGATCAATCACAGATCTCTGTAATAGAAGAAAATAAATGGCACTCAAGGGTAATCTAAGGGCATTTAATAAAGATCTTATTTATAAAGTTTGGAGAAAGCTTAAGGGAAGCAAAAAAGCATAGGGAAAG